ACCCAATACGTAGAATACAGCCAGCATTCGTTCTCCTGAGGTTCTGATTCTTTTGCCGTGTGGCTCGCTGTGCTCTGCTGACACTTGCCAGGTTCCCCAGCTTCACAAGAGAGGGAGCTATACCTGGAGGCCTGGCATACAGATATCTCCATAGACAAGGGAGGACCTGATGTGACTCACATTAAAGCACAATTAAAGGAATTTTGTGTCATGATGACACCATTAAAGGGAATGGGTTGGAAAAATCAATCAGATTCCTTCTCTGATTACTCTGTAACTCAATTACTGCAGTCCCCCCTGGGGCCTAAGGCAGCAACCGTCTTGCAGGAAGTGCCAAAGAAAGACCTCTGAATTAGAGCTCTTGTGGACAAAGGCAAGATCAAAGGCAAGATTCTGCTGCTGTGCTTCCAGAAAGAGGGTTATGTTATGAATAATAAAAAGGGCTGTGGAAATGTACTCGTGACACTGGGGTTTAGGGTGATAGGACTTTCTGTAGCTCAACTAGGAAAGACCTTGTATGATGGAAGTTCTCGATAAAAGTGTCAAATGACATCCATTATCTTCCATGTGCCCTGGCATGAATGTACCAGCAGCTCCCAAAACGTATATTCTGGTCACTGGTTTAGATTAAGTGATGGTACGTTTGTACCGATCCCCCACAATAATTTCCAAGCACTGGAAGTATCTGGAGATGTGAGACATTAAAACCACACAGTTCTGATTGTTATCTTCTGTCATATCACATCAGTTGCCGCATGGCTTAGCAGCTGATAATTCACAGGGCAGTTTGTGTTTTGTATTAACACTGTATATCACTAGGAAACAGAACATCTGAGTTTTATAAAGCATTTGTCTTAATGCTGGTGCTTTGTGAGATAGCTGACCTTAGCAGCTGATGCTCTCTGATGTAGCGATGCTTTTCTGGCAGGATGGGAGCCTGCTGAGCCTGCGCCCTTGCATTGGTGAAACACTTCATCCTTGGGCATTGTGACTGCCACCTCCTGCGATTCACATTCAGGCAGTCCTGGCAGGAATCCAGAATGAACCTTAATTTATCTATAAATCTGGTTGGTTGAGTTTTGGATCCATTTGGGTTTTTTTGGTGTTAGATTCCAAGGAGTTAGATCTCAAAAGAGGACACAGATATTTTGCTTTTCATTTAAGAGGGAACAATTGTCAGTGTGATTCTCCCTCGCCTTGCAGTATAGATCTTTCTGAGCTTTGTGTGTTGGGTCCGGGTGGTTTCTGACAGTTCTCTCACCTTTGAATATAAGTTTAGGCTGGTGTATTTATTTTGTTGCTTTCTTTTTTTTCTTCATTTGAACCTAAACCAGCTGATGTGGTCCCCAAAGAGCTCAGTGCACTTGGTGCCAGCTGGCATGCCCTCTGGCTGTGAAGCCTTGTTAAAGAGATCGGAGCTGACAGATTCTTGAGCAGCAATCTGATACAGGGCTTTTTCTTTTTCTTTTCTTTTTTTTAAATTTGGGGTTTTGAGCTCACCCATGTAACAAATGGGGGCTTGTTTGAGAGCTTCCACAGAGGCTTGAATGGAGCCATTGTTATCAAAACACTGCTGTGATTCAGAAGTGCCCAGCAAAGGGGTTTCCTCTCCCTCTTGCATCTCAGCTGGGCACTGCAGGTGTGGTAGCCTAGTTTAAACTCTGGTTTCATCCTCTTTCTGCAGAATAATCTAGTTGTCCTATGATCTTCATCTTTAAACTGATAACCAGGGAAAGTGAAGCTGCAGTTCTTTGCAATTCAGTTCAACAATAAAAATGAAGTTGAAGAGGTGAGTGAGTGTAACCGGGGAAGAGAAGTGTTTTGCAGGTTGATGTTTTGGGGGTAAAGAGTTGTAAAAGTAGTACAGTACTTTGCCAGGCTTTCACATAGATCAGCATACTCCGAGTTTTCTTACTGTTACCATGGTATTTAGATTACAAATTCTAGCCCAGAAACACTTGCTTGGAATTTTTTACAGGCACTGCATGGGCTCCTGGGCTTGTAAGTCCCTCTTTACATTGCTTTCTCCTACAAAACCAACTTCTGTCTATGCTGCTTGAGATGATATTTTTTTTTAAATCCAAATTAGTCTAATTATTCTATTTCATACATTGGGATTAAAAAGCAAAAGGATGTGAGCTATTTGGGAAGACACTGACACAATTCTCAGTCTTCTCAGTGAAAATCAAGTATGAAGGAATCTGAGTGTTTTGAATGAATTTGTTGCATAGGAGTAGAATGAAGACCACTTCCTATAGTAGCTAGTATGCATGGAGTCATATATGTCATGTCTTACAGGGAATTAATAAGAGATATAGCATTTATTACATGTTTCTACCTAACCTCTCTCTGCCCTGCTGAATTCTTTCTTCCCCTGGCTCCTGCCTCTCTGCAGTTGAATGTGACTTTGGAGCTCTAGTGCCAAGCACAAAGAGGCCTTCCTTGCAGAGTCAGTGGGATGCAGAAGGCTCATTGTGGAGGTGGAAAGGTTGTTTTCCTGGTTGATTTTGAAAGGTGACACATGTTTTGGGATACTGTGCTGATACACTGGCAGTCCCAGTGTATCACTGGGGCTAAACTTAAACTGGAATTAGAAGCTGTATGCTGCACTCAGTCCAGAGAGTCATGCATTCAAAATCTGCTGTCACTTCAGTAACTAAAGAAGGAAAAAAGTATCTGAATTCTGGTTTTTTACATCTTCCCATAGTAATTTCTCCCCTTCTCTCCTTTGTCCTTTTTCCAGTAAAATTTAACAGTGTGTAGAAACAAAACTGAATGATGATGGTTGTCTGTGTTGAAGAAAACACAACTTACTGTCACTGATGGATTTGCAAAGCCAGCTCTGTCATTACAGAGGGCCATTTGGGAATGAAGACTAGATCAGTTTGGAGTCTGGGCAACAGAGGTTTGAATCGTTGGGGATTGGGGATTTTTGTTTGTTTTGGTTTTTTATCCTTGATTCACCTTCTGCCTCGCAGTGTGACCTTCAGTAAGAGCTGCTGTGCCTCAGTTTCTCCAGTGGAAAATTGTTTCTGTCATATACTTTGCATTTACAGTCTACAGCGATTCTGAAGGTCTCACTGGGGCTAGGGTTTCTTTGTGCACTACGCAAACCAGTCCAGGCTCTGCTGAGCTTATAGCATAGAAGTTATTTGTGATAATACTTAATGACCATTGCAAGGAGCACTCCAACTCTCTTCCATCTGCTGTCACAAAGCTAGCAATATTACATCTCTTCATATAAAATCTGCTGGAGGTTTTTTTGTCTCTGCTTCAAGCTGCGGCACCAGTTTGGAAACCAGCCTGGTGGGAGTCTTCCGAGTGGGACTTTTGGCCTCATCTGTGAACTGATATTTTCCCTGACTCAGAAGGATTTTTTTCTGTTTAGTAATACACATTACAAAATATGCATCTGTCTCGCAAGTAATTTCTTTTCTGGTGGAGCAAAATTAGCATCTGTCTCACAGGTCACAAGTAGTTTCTTTTCTGGTGGAGTTAGTTGTTAAAACTCTGACCTTACTATATAAAAACACAGTATCTGTCTTAAACTCATGGACAGCCTAGTCTCCCATATTCTTTGTTTTGCCAGAGCGATAGTCACAAAAAGGCTCGAGAATGGGAGGAGTGGAGAAAGGGTGAAGAACTGTTTTGGTAGTGCTTTTTGTTATTGTTGCTCTTGTGCCTCCTGGTGTTGTAAGTGGTGCCAGTTGAGCAGGTGGTTAGCGGGACCGTGTGTGGTGGAGCACATGTCTGCAGGAGTGTGGGTGAATGAGTAAGAAAGGCTTTGAGAGGAAAAAAAAGGGGTTTTAACTTTTGCAGAGAGCTCATTTGGAGCATGACTGACTTGGTGAGCAACATCTGGCATTCAGGGTTGTCCATGCATTGTGCTGGGAGGCATGGGCAGCAGGTGCTCCCCAAAACCCCGCCTGTATCCCAGCTAATGGTGTTGTTGCTGTAGATGAGTCACCCTTCTGGTAAGGGAGAGAAGAACTAGACAGTGATTTCATTTTATTTTTAAACCAAAGAGCAGTTTAGTTACTTTCCCTGGTGTTTATGTTTGGTGTTTGTTGGCTTTGTTGAACATTTTAGCCCGGAAAAATAACAGCATATGGTGAAATAGTCTGCTGTCATAAACACAAAGCAGGAGGTGAGAGAGCTTTGTAACAAGAAGCATTCACGTGTTTGAGACCAACCCAAATTTACGTTGTGCTGTTGGTGATTTGAAACTGGCTTCATGCTCTTCAGAGGCATGTGAGGGAAGGTGAGGAAAGTCTGAGGAGATGTGTCCCATCCAACTGCCACCGCATCGATTGGCAGCAATCAGGTGTGTGGTGTGTGGGCAGGCTTGCCCCATGGCTCCATGATGTCTGAGGGACATTGTATCTGCAGAGCCATGTTTTGGCAGCCCTAAAAGAACATGAATTCCCAGGAAGAGTGGGGTGGCCTCATAGAGAGGGGTGGGAATCATGGAAACTGGGAGCTGTGGGGCATTCTGTGGGAATTCCTTGGGAATTCGAGGCATCCTGCTGGGTTTGACACAGCATATCCTGAGGGCCTAGGAAGTCGCTGGCAAGGACTTGGACATATCACTGTTAGTATTGGAACAGGGCAAGATGGGGAATGTGAGGGCTCTTTCCTCCTCTTGTTAATTTTGAAATAGAGGCTAGAATAAAAGGGGTTCATGTTTTCTGTTCAGTGGCATAAAGAGGAGTGGGGAAGGCCAGGTATGGCGGATCCATTTGCTGTAGCGTGTGAGAAACTCACCCAAGGTGAATGCTGAGTACCTGTGCACTGTCAGGGCCTTTCTCCCAAAGGCCACTATGGTGGTTCTGCCAAGCTCCCACACAAAAGGTGTGTGTCACTTCCCAGGGAACACGTCTGCCTGCTGACAGGCGAGTGATGCTGCCCACCTAGCACCTGCTGATCCTGCCATTTAATCTCAAACCTGTTAAATAACATGAATCCATACTGAGAATTGACTTTTTCTTTTTAAATTGCAGGATGCAAAGAGAAGGTGGCATCATGTGAATGCAGAACAGCTAGGAGAGAAACAGGACACCTGGGAAGGCTGAGCTGAGACTGCTCGTGCTCAGGATGACAGACTGATTTGCTGTTCCAAACGGTTCAGGGAAACCTCACTTCTCCAAAAGACTTCCTGAGTGAGAGGAGAGGAGCAGGAGGAAGCACACAAGAGAGCGATGGGAATTGAGGGCCATGGTTACCTGAGATAAATGGCAGATCCTTGGGAGTCTAGCCTTGTACCTGTTCGCCTTCGCTTTGTTTCTCTCCGCAGCTGCTCTTCCTTCTCTGCGAGCTGCTGCTGGGTGCTGCCGCGCCGGCACTGGAGACCTCGGGAGCGCCGTGGGTGCCGCGCGTGAGGAGGGGCTGGGCAGCCCGCCTCACCATGATTCAGCTGTGGAAAGTGGTGCGGCATGTGCGACAGCTGGAGCTGCACAGGTTGATCCTGCTGCTCATCGCCTTCAGCCTCATCTCCATGTGCATCCTGGCCTACTACGTCACTAACAGTCCCAAAATCAAGGAGCCACCGCCCCTGCCCTTCAGTGACTGCAGCAACCAGCAGCGTGTCTTGATCCCACCGCAAGCCAGCTGGAGGCTCACAAAGTCTGTGGACACCTCACGCACAGATCCTGTGGTGCTAGTCTTTGTGGAAAGCATTTACTCCCAGCTGGGGCAGGAAATAGTGGCCATCCTGGAATCTAGCCGGTTTAAATACAGGACAGAGATCGCCCCTGGAAAAGGGGATATGCCCACCCTGACAGACAAAGACAGAGGACGCTACGCTCTTATTATCTACGAGAACATCCTTAAATATGTGAACCTAGATGCTTGGAACCGAGAGCTGCTGGACAAATACTGTGTAGAGTATGGAGTGGGGATTATAGGCTTTTTCAAAGCCAATGAGAACAGCCTGCTCAGTGCACAGCTCAAGGGTTTCCCCCTTTTCCTACATTCCAACTTGGGGCTGCGGGACTATCACATCAACCCTAGTGCTCCCTTGCTCTACGTCACCCGGGCTAACGAGGTGGAGCAGGGTCCCCTGCCTGGTGATGACTGGACTGTGTTCCAGTCAAACCACAGCACCTATGAGCCAGTGCTGTTGGCCAGCACGAAGTCCTCAGAGTCCATTCCTCACCTGGCCACCCACAAAGCATTGCATGCCACAGTGGTGCAGGACCTGGGTCTGCATGATGGGATCCAGCGGGTTCTTTTCGGCAATAACCTCAATTTTTGGCTGCACAAACTCATTTTTGTGGATGCCATTGCCTACTTGACCGGCAAGCGCCTCTGTCTCACACTTGATCGCTATATCCTCGTTGACATTGATGATATATTTGTGGGAAAAGAGGGCACTCGCATGAAAGTGTCGGATGTAGAGGTAAAGTTCCTAGAGTAACTACAGGCACCAGGCAACTCTCTAGTGTGTGTGGTATGCCAGGAAAGGCAGGGTTGCATTTAATTTGAGTGCAAGACTTGATTGCTGCAATTGTTCTTATCTTAAACAGTTCTGTTCTCATCTGGCCAGTTCTGAGGCCAGATGCTGAGGCATCCTAGATGATGCTCTCAACTGTTTTGCAGGTTCAAAAGGAGCATTTTTCATGCTGGCCTCTCTGCATTTAGGAGGATGATGCCTATAGTGGTCTATTCTGTCTCATCTTTAACACAGGGAGCAGACATACGCAGATTTCCTCTGTCAGATCTATTTGTAGCTGTATACTGTACTTTTCAAAAGGAAAAGGCAGATTGTAATAGAGTAGAATATAAAACTGTATTAATTATTATAATGTGTATAAACTGTATGTATTATATTGCAAAGCTGTTTACTGGTCCCTGGAGTGTCAACTGCAGTGGTCTATGTTTTAGCCATCTAGCTCTTCAGGGCATAACCAAACTGGGAAAAGAAGGGTTTTCTCTCACCCTTTATTACACCCCTCCTCATACCCTCCACCAGCAACCCCCATCCTGGAGCAGGAAATACCCAAATATTCACCAGGGAAACATGGTCACACCAGGCTTTCATGAGAACCATGTCTGTGGCCTCACGATTGGGAAAGAGAGATGCCATCTTTATGGTTTGCTTTCCTTGGCAGTTCCTTGAGTAATACAGTGACCTATTAGGAAAGGATATGGGAAAGGCACAGAGAGAGGGATATTTTCTGGAGGAGAGGAAAGCAAGACAGGCAAAGGAGTAAGCAAGTAGGAAGAAGGTAAGAAACCAAGTGCCCCTTCTAATTCTTTGCGTCCTTGAAAGTGTGTGATAAAGTGTTCTGTGATATGTGTACATACGCTGCATCGTGGAGCTAAGGACTTGCCTTGTAGCTTCCCCATCAGAAGGGAATGGGTTTGTAGTTCTGGTTTGTAGCCATTAAGGCAGGTATGTTGTCTATTTCTCCAGGTCTGCTGAGGTTTTTCCCACAGGTATGAGGCTCCAGGCCTTTCTCTCTGGATTCCCATTTAGCACTTGCCCTTAGATAAGTCCTGGCTGGAGTTCCCTGGATACCAGCCGTGATGACAGTAAGCCTGTGACAGCAGCTGCCTTAGCATGTTTCCAAAACAGCTTCAAAATTAAGCACCCTTCAACCTTTCATCTGAGGGCACAGAACATTTGAGGCAAAGGTATAAAACAAAATACTGTTATACACGTGCCCCCTTACCGGAACCGAACCTTATCCATTACATGTTCCAAGAGCACTCTTACACCTCACTTAGGAGTCTTACCTCCTTTTGTATGTGTTTTTTGCACCCGTGCAAGATGTATCTCACTTTATCTCCATTTTTCAAGGTTTTGAGATTTTAAGTTCTGTTTTCCCAGACTTGCCTTGGGGGGAATGCATTCTGTTAAGAGCTAGCTTTATCTTTTCAGTTCATTTGAAGCTGTGTGCCTGAAGCAGCTGTAATCGCATGCCATTATTTATTTTACTTGTTTCATGCTTTAATAATTCTTTAGAGGCACCTTTGACCATAGCTCTCTGAGCAAACAGATGTATAAAAACTGTTTCCAAGCAGTCAGATATAGAAAAATAGAGCAGTTTTTATATGATACTTATTTAAGGAAAGTGCTACAATTTCCATCATTTCACCACAGTGTCCGTGTGTTTTGAGGTGCTGTGATGTTCTGAATTTGTTGTTGTTTGAAGCATCACAATCTCATCTTGGTCTTAAGCAGGCCCTGCACCCTCTACACCAAATTGGCAGAGATTCTCACTTTTGTAACGTTTGTGCAGGTTGCAGACTTATGTGAGAATGCAGGAAATAGGTGGCCAAACCTCTTGGAAACAAAGGGTGCTCTAGTGATGTTAAAAACAAACCCAGACAAAATAATTCCCAAAGATGCTTTGTTTGGGTTTTAGCAGGCTGAAATGGAGGAATAATCTGTGATCAGTAAGCAGAGAATCTCAGGCAAAGCAGATAAAACCCAGATTTATCCATTTAAAAGAAGCGCTCTGATTGCAGAGCCACGAGAGGGTAATGAATTTTTACCTTTTAAAAGCGAGAAATAACTACACGGATTTGTTGATAGCCTCTCACCGTGGGGAGAGAAGGGAATATAATAGTGGCAGAACAGCTGGCATTTCCTTTGGCCTTTCATATAAAGCTCTGTCTCAGGGCTGTTAACACACAGCTCCTTATCTGAAAGGTTAGATTACAGTGGTGAGGGTAGCGGTTTGGAGATTGGATGCTGTGTGATGGTATAAAATTCACTCTGCTGTCCCAGTGAGCCTGTTCGCCATATGCAGGTACACATTCAGAGTGCTTCCAAACAAAATGGCTGTTAAAAGAATGCATGTCCATAGTAGATGGCCCTGTATGAGAGGAGAAATGTTTTTACTGGTGATGCTTGAAGGAGAGTTGAATGGCTTTGTTCTTCAACAAGGCAAAAAAGGAATCGTGCTTGCTTTTACTTTAAAGATGGTAACCCTTGAGTTCCTGTTTCTACTGAAGGGCAGCAGCAGGGGCTTGCCATCCTCAGTTGGATTGAAACAGTTGGAAGTTGAACTAGGAAAGTGTTTTTCCCTTGTAAAGTTTACCAGAGATTTGAGCTGCATGTAATTAACAAAACAAAAATCTCAGAAAATCCCTTCTCTTCCCAATTATTCCACATTCAGTCTCTTCTAAAATCATAATCCTTGGCATTCACCAAACCTCAGCGGAACTGGCCAGCAAAGATGAGCCGTTTCTAATGCAAAAGGATCTGGCTTTTATGATCTTTCCTGCTTGTCCTTAAGTATAAGGAAAGAAGGTTAAGTAGATCGGGTTTTGCCTCTTTTGCTGGTAATCTGTGCAGGGGCATAAATAGTAAGCAATTCTTGCTAGCAAGTCTGAGGGAAAGCTAAGTGCAGGTGAAGGACAGTCCTTTCATTTTGGGTTATGGATGGTGAGGGTAGAAGAGAGCAAATCTAGTGAGGGTGCCTGTTAGCCTGCTCTTGCCTTTCTAAATTGTAGAGAATGATCTTACATGAAATGAAAATACTCAGCAATTTCTAATTCGCTGATTCTAACTTTGTAAGAGGTAGGAGTACCAGTACCATGAATGCTTTCTGTTTTGACAGTGCTGTTTTGGACTATGCCACTGCTACTGCTGGGTGGTGAGAAGACTGCAGAAAATCCTCTTGCGAGTGTGCTGCCCTGTGTCCATAGGGCCAGCTCCTATGAAGAAGGTGTCTCTGCAACACGTTCCTAGTATGCTTTGTAAGAGTGTTTGAGATGAGGCTGTCGAAGTGCTCTGCTTTTCTCCATTTTTTATCATCTGTTTCTCTGCATTTGTCCATGTACTTTTCCTAGGCTCATGGTATCCTCTGTTCCCAGCAGTGACTCTCAGACTTGTTCCCCCTTTTCTTTTGCATCTTTTTAGAAGGACCTGAGATAGGAGAGGTAACATTTAGGGTTTGTGTGAAACAGCTAAAATCTCTGCAAACGCTTTTGGAAGTTAAAAATGTTGTAGCTGAACACCACAGTTTTATGAAGGTTTAGCCCTGTTTTATTGCGATGCCAAATTTAGAAGAGGAGTAGGTCCTAAAGAAACAACCTTAAGAGGGTACAGTGCTGTGGTTTCCCCCCATTTCTTCTTCGGTCCTAGAATTTTAACCCCATTGTGGGAGTTTTTGTCTTTCATTGGACAGCATTAAGAGCTTGTAGTGTCTGTAAGTCTTTGCAGATCCATCAGTGAGATTGGACAGTTGGGGATTTTTTTAATGTGTTGCAACAAATTGCACGATTTTAAACTTCTGTTCCCCTAAAATATGCTTAGAAGTAATTATCATCATTTGAGATTATCAGAAAGCCTTTTTTAAAGTGATCGGACATCAGAATGAAGCTTAGATCTTTTTCACACTGTGCCCAGAAATGTGCGTTGGAATGTAGATGTCTGTCACTTGGGCTTGCAGCATGGCTGCCCCAAGTAAGTACTAAAGGCCTTCAGAAGCACGGGTCGTGAGTTGCAGAGGATGTTCTCTGGTAGACTCTGGCAAGCGTGAAGCAGGTCTGGGTGTGCTGTGGCTTAGGAGTTCAAGTGGCTAGTGCTGGGGATCTCTTGGGAAACTCCATCTGTTCCTTCCTGGGGTGAGCCTTGCAGAACTTGTAGTAGGAGCTTAGCAGGGGAGGGGGTCTTTCTGGCGAGCTAGTGTGCTTGGCTGCATCTCGAGGATTTTGTGGTGGAAGACAGTTAGAAAATACAAAACAGAAATACTTGGAGGGATTGGAGGGGCAGTTTTCTGGGAGAAGAAACCTTGCTTTTAAGAGGTGGGGGATAGCTAAAATGCTAGCCCTCTGACCCGTACCATGGGAACAACTAAATGTCTTGAATGATAAAATCAGCTAGGTTGGAAAAGACCTTTAAGATCATCAAGTCCAACTGTTACCCAGTGCTGCCATGTGCACCACTAAAACATGTCATTAGGGGCTTTGTCTACACAGTTTTTGAACACTTCCAGGGACGATGACTCTACCACTTCCCTGTGCAGCCTGTTCCAATGCCTGACCACCCTCTGAAGAAGAAACTGCTCCCAATACCCAGTCTAAACCTCCCCTGGTGCAGCTTGAAGCCATTACCTCTTGTTGTATCACTCGTTACTTGGGAAGAGGCCAGGAACCTCCTCACTCCATCCTCTTTTCAGGCAGTTGTAGAGTAATGAGGTTCCCCCTGAGCCTTCTCTTTTCCAGACTAAACAACCCCAGCTCCCTCAGCCATTCCTCATCACACTTATGCTTCAGACCCTTCACCAGCTTTGTTGCTCTTCTCTGGACCCACTCCAGCACCTCAGTATCTCCCTTGTAGTGAGGGGCCCAGAGCTGAACACAGTATTCAAGGTGCAGCCTCACCAGTGCACAAATAGGCACATCTGGCTAGCTGTTAATGGATAGCCTATTCTGTATTTCTTGATGGCATTTAATATAAAATATCAGAGTACATTATGAATATAAATGAAATGCCACTTGATTCACCTGTAAGACATTATTAGTACTATCATCTTCATCCTACTTGAAGCAAGAAAGATAGTGCAGAGGTGTCAGAGCAGGCAGAAGAGTCATGTTCCTGGCCTATTCCCACATCTCTGTTGTTTCACCTTAATACATACAGCTCACACACCTCTGAACCAGTGTGCTAGGGAACAGTGAATACATAATGATGAAATAGATTTCCAGATACTTTACTTGGCACCTTAATCTCTTTAATCCTGTGCAGGGGATTGCTTCAAACCTATTCCATGCCACCTTATGGATGTGGCTGTGAAAAGGATCCAGCATCAGCAGAGGGCTGGCACAAGATTAGCAATAAACCAACCAGGAAGGTAGGACTCCATAGTCTTGGAATTCCTGGGACCCCCATGGTTCCTCTCTGGTCCCTCGCCAGACACAAAGGATTGCTGGGCTTTTTGGGATTTATCATCAGACAGATGTGTTGTCATGGTAACCCCACCCAGGCTTTAAATCCCCCTCTGTGCAGAGGAATGCTAAGCCTCTTAACCGCTGTCTTTCCTCCCTCCACCTACCTACCCAGGCTTGGGGAACTGGATGTGCCTATCAGAGCAGCAGAGAGGTGATGTGTGGGACAGCTCTGGAGACAAGACACAAAAGTTGTACTTTCCTGTCCAGGATACTGGGTGATGTGTTCAAGGTGGTGGTCCCAGATGAGACGTGATATTGTCATCCAGCAGGACAGACAGGTGCTTCTCTGTAAAGAGATGCACAGCTCTGAAGTCTGTGCTCTCTGATGCTTCTGATGAGTCCCTGCGCTTTATAGAGTTACATGAGGGGAACGTGACCTCCCACTGCCTATTCTGGATCTTGTGCAGCAAAGGGGGCTTCAGCCATCAGTGCTGCTGGCATGTCAGCTTTTAAAAACACTTACATGTATGATAGGTTCTGGAGATGTCATGCAATACATTCTTCAAAATGCTACTCTTGGGTGGGGCCTGGGCTATGGATATGGTAGGCAGATGGCTATGGAGAGCTGGGATCTTTGACATTTGTCCCAGGCTGCATTTGATGTCAGTGTTGCGTGAATCTGGGGAGTAGGAACCGGGCATTAAGTGCGTCTCTAGGGAAAAGTCTGAAAGCTTGGTTCCCTCAGAGCACTGAGCCTGTCTGCAGCGCTGCAGAAATAATGTCTGGTCTTCACACCTTGCTGTGTGGAGAGGTCGTGGTCTGCCTGCCTTGGGAATACTGCTCAACTTCTGCACTCCCAGAAGTCAGCACTGTTTTGAAATGTGAGTAACAGCAGTGATTTGTCAGGTTGTCCTTAAGTGCTGGGTGTCAAGGGTCCACGGAATGAGAGTCTCTATTTGTGAATGCGCTTTCACCACCTAGGGAGCAGTGTTCCTAAACAATGCCTATAGAGTGTGAGCCATGTGAAAGCAGTGTTGTAGTGCCCTTTTGTGCTTCTTGGGGCTGCACTGGGGAAGGGCAGCTGGTGCAGAAAGATCTGCCCATCTCCCCTGCACAGTTTGGAAAGCACTTTCCCCAGTATTATGTGCCAAGTTGCTTATGTGTTCGCATCTAGCCCAAGTCTGCTGTTGGGAGGTCATCACCTTCACCTTGGTGTAGCCACTCATCCATTGCTTCCTTGGAAAAGCTATTAACACCTAAATAACTGCCTGGGCAAGGACTATCTCTGTCACCTGCCAGCAGCCCTCCTGCCAGGTCCCTGTTTGATTGAGAACTCCTCCCATGGGAGCTGCACCAGTGACACATTCCCTGAAGCACACAGATAGCAGCAGTGTGTGCATCTCAGGGCTCTCTTTTTTTATTGTTTTCCAGCAGAAGAGATTTGACTGGAATTAGTTTGCGTCTTACTTGTCTAGGACATACTGAGCCTCGGGGGTTTTGTTCTGCCAAGGTTGTCTGTCTTGCTCTGTTCACTGCTGGACCTTCTGGTTTGTGCCACAAGGCTCCTTCCCTTTGGCTAGAGCAATTACTTCGGACATTTAAAGCAGACAAAGTGAGCAGGAGAGAACCCGTAGGAGAACTGATGACTGTGAGTGCCAGCTCCCTCAATTTCTATTTCCAGAATCCAGGAAACTTTTCTGATACAAAAGAATATCTCCATAGCAGGACTCCTTTCACAGGTAGTTCTGCAAATCCACCTTTCCTCTCTAAATAAATCCCCCTCCCTTTGGATCATTTAGTTACTGTTCATGACACTATTGACTTCCTTCAACTGTGCACCTTGTGTTGCCCCATCCTCCTTTTTATTAACACAAAGGCTCAGAGAAAGGGCAGATGTTCGATGGTAATGTCCCAGCCAGCGTAGGAGATGAACAGGACATTGAGGTTGAACATGTTAAGAGTAGGGGATCTGTTGCTTGGAAGTGAGATTTTATTTTTCCATTGCCTTAGCACAGGCACTCTGGGTCCTCCACATTGAAGTAGAGAGCATCATCTGACTGGTTTTAAAGTGGCATCATTTAGTACAGCAGGACTACTTCAGAGACTCTATATGGAATGCCTAGCTATGCTGCTTCACTCCACAGACAACAGTGCCTTAGCCATGTGGTACCTTTTCAGACTGAACTGGGCACCAGCAAAACACAGAAATGTTACAGAGCAACTGAATATGAGCATTTATTTTTTTCTTTCATTCAAACAGGCTTTACTGAGCACCCAGAATAAGCTGAGAACTTTAGTCCCAAATTTCACCTTCAACCTGGGCTTCTCAGGGAAATTCTATCACACAGGTAAGCCCCTGGCACCCTTTTGTCCCAGTGCCTGTATACAGCCTCCAAGTCCATATGCATGTGTACCACGCTGGAGAGAGCATGATTCTCTCTTGGGAGGACTCAGCCACTGCTTTGAGAGATAGAGCCCTTTTTCTGCGTTTTGGTTTTGCACTCTGTAGGTACAGATGAGGAAGATGAAGGGGATGACATGCTGCTCAAACACAGGAAGGAGTTCTGGTGGTTCCCTCACATGTGGAGTCACATGCAACCTCACCTTTTCCACAACGTCACTGTGCTGGCTGAGCAGATGAAGCTCAACAAGCAGTTTGCTGTGGTAAGGGGAATCGCAGTTTAGTTACTTTACTGTACTAATCCTTAAACATTCTTCTCCTGGGATAGCAGTTCGGGCCCCAGTGAACACAAATACTGGTCTGGTAACTCAGCTGCATTTAAGAAAGGCAATTCTGAAAATCGGTGTGCAGCTCCTGCTGGCTTCAGGCAAGAAACACCATTCCTGTGCCTGCCTGTGAAATGGGAATGTTTCCTGGCACCTGCATGGCCCCAGGCAGCTCCGCTACATTCCACAGTGCAAATCCCAAGGCTGTTGTTTGCTGAGGTGTGAACTTGTAGCATTTCCATCCAAATCCAATTAATTTACAGACTCTGGCAGTGAAAAAGCATTTCCGTTTCCATCCTTATGCACTGTGGTTTTGTAAGGAAGTCACCTGGTTGGTTGTATAAAATGCTCTGTGTGCTAACAGCCTTACTTCTGGTCTCTAGCTAAAGAAGCTAGTTATCTAGGAAGTGCAGGGGAAATTCCCTGGGTTTGGCAGAGGGGGAAGCTTTGAACATCCTGCATTGTTGGAACAATGTCTGTTTGATACTTGCAGCCCAGAGCTGAGTATAGCATACGTGTTTCTCTGAAACGAAATGTCCTCTTCACCTCTAGTTTGGTTCTTTTGATGGTAATCCCCTTGGAAGTAGCAGGCTGCTGTCTTGTGTTCCCATGACATAGATTAGGAATGATCTTGAATTCAGAGCACAGTTGCAGCATTATAGAACAATTTAGGCTCCTCCCTTTCCTGGTTGAATAACAGTGCAGTCTTTTGCAAAGAGACACAAAGCACAGAACACAATTACTCATATTTAAACAGGCTAGCAGTGGGAAGGAGAAGGTTATTGCTTCATTAGGGGCTCTGGTTTTCCTGTACACCACCAGGACAGAGCTGTCATCATTCATATTGTTACCAGAACTACACGGTGGAATTAAAACCCATGAAATTCAGATATTTCCTGTCATTTTAGTGTAGCTCCAGGCCCCATATCTCCACCCTCAATAGGCCCTTGCTACATGTCTGCTTTTATTTGAATTGCTAGAGACTAGATGGATCCCAGGCATCTTCCTTTCCTTCTATATTGGTTAAGGAAATTTTGCTTTCCTCCTCTAGTGGCTCAGATCTAGGCATTATGGGAGTGAGATATGTCATTTAACAGCATTGATTACTTTGCAGTAACCAAGGAGCCTGACCTCAGGCTTGTGAATTAATCTCATTTGTCACACCTGGAAGCTACACCACCGTTCTTACAGCAGCTGTTACCAGTGCTAAACATCCTGGTTGATACAGAATTACCTTTATACTTCTATAGATGCATAAAACAAGAAGTTACTAGCAGTATTTCAGGTTTCCCAATCCAGAGAGTTTTCATGTTGCTTTGTCACCTTGCTCCAGCTTTGAGTTGATTGCTAAATATGTTCCTTATTAAGGATCTTGGTTAAATATTGAATGATCAGGCTGCATATTCTGCTTCCAGGAGCATGGGATTCCCACAGACTTGGGCTATGCTGTAGCCCCCCATCATTCTGGGGTTTATCCTGTCCATACACAACTCTATGAGGCATGGAAATCTGTTTGGAGTATCCAAGTGACAAGCACAGAGGAATACCCACACCTGCGCCCTGCCCGGTACCGGCGTGGATTCATCCATAATGGAATCATGGTGAGCACAGCTGGGTGAGCAGAGCCCACTTTCTTGCCCAAGGGACGGTCTGGTAGTGACCTATATCAGAGACATTAATCTTATTATCACCAGTGTTTCCAAAATTGCTTAAGTCAATCAAAGAGGAAAAAAGCTTGGCTACAGCCAGTTTCTGTGTTTCTCAGTACAATTCAGAGGTCAGTACTGAACAGAGAGCAGAACCAAGCACAACAAGACTAAACTGAGATCCCACTCGCTTGTCTGCACTGTGATGAGTAAATGGTTGGGAGGAATACCAAAAGAGTCCTCTGAACCCATGTTAATTATGTCCCTTACTCTTGATATTGATCCAGAGTGCTGCTCTGACACTTCGCTGGTAGATCCTGCTGCACCTGCTTCTTGCCTAATTTTGCTTTTCTCTAATAATTGCTAGGTCCTGCCTCGACAGACCTGTGGTCTTTTTACTCACACTATCTTCTATAATGAGTATCCTGGTGGCTCAAAGGAGTTGGACAAGAGCATTCGTGGTGGTGAACTCTTCCTGACGGTGCTCCTAAACCCAGTAAGCTCATCTGAAAGGGGAATCGGTGCATGGGTATCTTGCCTGATGTGGGAAAGGACTAGATCTTATGGGAGACTCAGTATCTCCAGTGTGATGGTAAGGAGATGTGCAAAAGAGGGCCAAGGAAGTACTTGTAGTTAATGATGTTTTTCTTTATACATTGCCAAGGGCTCATCAGTGTTGAGTGTTAGAAACTAGCCAGGGTGACACAATGAGTGAGCATGGCGCAAGGTAGAGTGGGTGTTACCAAGACCACTGCATCTTCATGAATCAGAAGTGAGATGTGCCTTGGCTCCTTCTGTCCCTTGCGCATCTGCCGCCTGTTGGCTTCTCCACTGGCTCACTGATGAGTTTGGTTGCAATAATTGCTTTCTCTAGGCTTTTGTTATGCAGTGTTCTCTCCTTTCTTCCAGTATGTATGCATTTCAGAACAATTTCTGTGTGCCTTTTTTGTGATGTAGTCACCCTAAGGCATTTGGGGGGATCTGCATCTAACACAGGTGTTCCTATTTCCCTTCCAATACTTGACAGTTCAGTGGAAACACAAAGCTAAAGTAGTACCTTCAACACCATGCAGTCCCTTCCCAGTTCTTAGCCACGGATGACAGATCACATGAGTTTCTCACTCCCCATTAAAGCTGGGAAGATGTACTAGGTGGCAAGAGAAACACACAAAAAAAAGGCAGTAATTTTTAGAAGATCCTGAATGTATGGAATTAGGAGATGAATCTTTGTAGCTCTTTTCCTTCACACTCCCTCACATTCCTGCTTGTTGGCTGCAGCAGGAAAACGTGCTGTTCTTTTTTATTGTACAGTAACATTCTCGATTCCCCACCTAAATTTGTTTCTTACTAAAGCTGATTTGGCATCTGTTGTCTTCCCTTTCTCTGAATGGACATCGGCTTGCCAAGTTTAGATAGTGATTTTAGAATGTCTACCTCTAATGTAGCGACTCCCAAATATAATGGTGTTTAATCTCTTTTCCCATGACTTCTAAATTTCTACCTTCTTACTTCTCCTTTATCTTTTCCACCAGCCCTGAATATGGGCAAAAAAACCATGCAAGCAGATCTGAGAGAAAGTAGTTTGGTTCTGCCTAGCTTCCTAGGTGAGAACGCTGGAGTACTGGTCCCAGTCATTGAATTCTTTTCGGTGGGTTTTGTCATGTAACTTCAGTGGCTCTTTCTCCCTGATGTTTTCTTTCATTCTCTCCTCCTCTTGCAGGGTTGAATATGCAGATATATTTACTTTTGGTCGGGGCTCTAGAGGCTCAGTGTGAATCATAAATTCAAGCTTTTTCCCTCAATGAGCTTAATTCTTTCTTGTCTCCAGCTTTTCCTAGTGCTTAGTGCCTCTGATCTCCTTGAAGTAGAACTGTGATAGCGAAAAGACCCTTGCAGTGTGCTCTGGGTGCATCACACAAACAGGCTGTAGTTTACAAACAGGCCCTGTGTTTCTGAAGGTTAGCCTGTGACCACCTCTGCCTTGGTGTATGATCCACAGGAGGTATGGGTCTATAACAGCCCTAGGTAAAAAGCTGTAAGGGTTCATACTTAACAGGTCTGGAAGCCAACCTTCCACCCCCAAGGTCTAGAAGCCAGCCTTCTGTGCCTGCCAGCTGAGACACAATTGTTATCTTTGCACAGGACCACATCTATCTGCTTAATAGAAGTGTGTAGTAAGGAGAAGGCTGTCCTTTGTGATACATACGGAGTGATCGGTCAAAGGGAAACAAACTGCTTTCTTCTCTGTGACCATTGCTTTTCTGGGTTTCTGTTGCCATATGTTGGGTGAATTCCCCCTTGTCCCACTTGGTAATTGACAGATCTTAAAGAATGCCTGCAGAACTAGCTACTGTGAAACTTACGAGCTCTAATCCAGGGATCTTTGCTGTGACAAGCAGTTCATAGAAACATGGTTTCTAGAGCTGCCCATTAAAATTTGCTGGTAAGTTTGTGATGGTCAAAGCAGCTGGCAGTGATCTGTGCTCCAGAAGGTTTGGGAACACTGTGCTCTGGTACAGGGTGAGCTTATTTGTCAGATTTACTGTTGGCTGTTTGTGGTGACTTTAAAACTCTTTCAGGCACCTTCAGATGATTCTGATGTTTACAGTTTTGCTCCCTTTTGGCAATGCAGCATTTCTCTCTCTGTGAGCAGTGGAGTACTGTGCTCTAAGCTCCTCTTCATTGCTCGTGTTTGCACGGTGACTCAGACCCTTGCATTCCTCTTGCTGATAGAGCCATCTCATAGACCTGATGGAAAGCTGGCCAGCCCCGCAGCCCCAGCAGTGATCCATAGCAGACTTGGACCAGGCTCTTTCAGTCCTTTTTGGTGCTTCCAGCTCCCTTTGAGTGTGTTTACACGTGCAGGAGTCTCCAAGCCTGTATGCATGTGATTAACTCCACAGTGCAAACAGAAGATGTTTGATGTTCTGACTGGTGAACAAGGTCTGATGTCAGGAAGGAGAATAGCCATTGATACCAGCAGACAGGCTGATCACTTCTGACAAACGCTTTTGCTCACACTAAGCGGCTGCTTAGGTTACTGCTGTGCCCACAGCTGCTTGTTACATACTGCAGGGGTGCTCATACCCACTTGTTTTCTGTATTCTAGGCTCCCTGTGACCTTTCCTCTCATCTTTCCTCAGTGCAAAGGAAGGGAAACCGTGGCATGCTGACAGTGGAAGGGAAGGGGAGAGGAAAGAGGCGTTATTACCAAGCTGGTCCCTGGGTGTGCATGGGAGGGAGAGATGGGACTTCAGTGTAGCTTATGTCAGAGGTTGTGCTCAGAGCAGTGTTGGCAGCAGTAGCTGTGATGAGGCAGAGCACGCAGCCAGGCCTTGTTGAACAGTGTTTGTGTGTTACAGGACGTGACTGCATCCTCACAAGTACAAGGAAATGGCCCTTTGGTTGGGCTTGTCTTCTTGTCTTCTAGATCCAGTTCCTTGGGGCTGTTTGCAGGTGAAAGCATTACCTGTGTGAGCCCTTTTAGTTGAATGTGTTTACTCTTGAGACACGGTTGCTTTCCTGATCTCATGAATGCAAACATGCAGGCTGTTTCTATTCTGGAGCCCTTGCAGGGACCCCAGGCGGTGACCTGTGTCCTCTCTGCTGCAGTGCTTGGTTTATGCCAGTGAGCCACATGCTTCATGCAGCAAATTTTTCCTCTGAACGTTTCACTGGCAAGTCAAAGGGATGAGCCAGCCCTCGCTGTCACACCACATTCCTGCGTTCCCCAGAAATGGGAAAAATGCAACATGAGACACATCCTTTGGCACCTTATGTGCCTCATGGCATGGCCCTGCAGTTACACTGAAGATCTTCCTGTCCTTTGCTTTGTGTTATATTTAGCCCATCTCCTTTTTACACAGCAGCACCAAGCACACACTGCTCTTTGAAGTGGAGGTGCCAGAGCCTGTCTGTCAGGGCCTCTCTATCAGCTTGTAGGAAGCCAGAAGGAAACTGGTCACTGAGACCAGTCTGTGGTGACACTGGGCAAAAGACTGAATTCAGACTTCTTGAGTGCCAGCAAATTTCTTCATCCCGAGACCATCTGTCTCCTGCTTCCCTCTTTTTCTCTTCCCCTGCTGTTAGTGGGAAAGCCATTCCTGCCCCTGTCAGGGAAGCCTTTTGTTGCTTCCTGATCTTCCTGGCATCATCAGGATTCAGACCTGAACTGTGCAGCAATGGATGCCCCTACTGTGACTGAGGTCTCTTTCCCTCCCTGCACAAGCAGACACTGGTTGGGGAGTGCTAAATCATCCACATAGTAATTCTTCCATTGGTCTTGGTATTCTGCTTTTGTTTTCCTAACTTGTAGCCATGGTTTGCTTTATGTCTGGCAAAATGCTGTTGTGTTACGGGCACTAGGATGCCCAGTTCCATGGGACCTGTCAAAGCCATACACCAGTGTCAAGCTGACAACAGTCTTTTGCACTCCTTCTCAAAAACCAAAGTACTGAAACACAGACAGGAGGGAAACGCTTGAGAGATGGCTTGGCAAGGCAGGGGTAGCACAGCAGCTCCTGAGCACTGCAGTGCTGGATATGCTCCCATGGGTGTTCTGTGCCACTTTGCCCAAGGGTTTTCATCCTCAGGCTTGGCAGGACATTTTTCAGGGGCTGCCTGTGCTGAAGGTTCTTGCAAGCTAAAACCTTATCAGCTGATGTCTGTTCCTAGGACAGTGTCCTAGTGCAGTGTCTCTTTGCAGCCCCTGTTCAGATCCCCAGATATGTTTGTTTGTATTTTACAGTGTGAATTGCCACTTGTTCCTTTACGCTTGAGATGTCAGCTCTGAAGTGAATGAAAGCTGACAGGCTGTGGGCCTAGAAATAACTCCTGTGAAAACTGTCCTTGCACCATTGTGCCCTGGCCTGCAGCATGCTGCTCCTCTCCCTGGCCTGCTCCCCTGCTCTCCTGGCTGCTCACTGCAGCTAGAGAGGTTGCTCTGATTGTGCCCTGGGGAGAGGAAGGGAAGCTCCTGTTCTGCCATGAAAGATTTGCAAGGTTTGGACTAGGAGGGAGTCCCTGATTTGATTTGGGATGTTGAAACTTCTGGATTTGCATCCAGGGCTCAGTTACCACTCCACCACCAACATTCCCAGGGTTTACTGGGAGGTCTGTGACCTCCTCTCCCGAGTTCCTCTTGTCTTGCAAGCTCTACATCAAGGCAGTGCTGTATCCTGGCAGATGAACATCCATCAACCCAGACAGCCAGAGCAGTCTGAGATGCAAACAGCCTCTTGCTGACAGTGGAATTGAGCTAAGAATAATGAGTACTGTTACCTGATTTATCCCATGTCTTCCCTGTTTTCAGATCAGCATCTTCATGACGCACCTGTCCAACTATGGGAATGACCGTCTGGGACTGTACACTTTTGAGAGCTTGGTGAAATTTGTGCAGTGCTGGACCAACCTTCGCCTGCAGACATTGCCCCCTGTCCAACTTGCAAAGAAGTACTTTGAAATCTTTCCTCAGGAGAAGAATCCCTTGTGGCAGGTGAGAAGGCAGCTTTAACTGCTCCTGGTGGTTTTTGAAGAGGCATGTCCCATGTTTAAAGTGCGGCAAGACTGCTGATCCAGAGCACAGAGGGGTAATGAGGAAAGCTTTTAGGTTTAACCTTTGTGGCTTGAGGCTGTAAGTGGCAAATTGCAGGGTGGAAGGGATGGGGAGTAGGAGCAGCAGGACACAATCATGGGGTGAGCTTAGGGTCAGGGATGGCTGTCAAAAGTGACTGGGGAGCAGGCTTGCAGGCACTTGGGTCACTAAAAGACTTATATTAATTAGAGCAAGCTGCTGTGAGATGTTAAGTGTGCAAGGAAGAACCCTGTTTGGTGCCGGAGGAGCTTGCAGGCATGTTAATATGATTAATCTGAAAGTAATCTCACACTGCAGAATTCATGTTCGTTAAATTAAAACACGGTTATTCCATTTTGTCCCAGTGCAGCAGCTCTCTGCATGGTAATGAGCAGATGAAATTAACTGAAGGTGATAAGAGTTGTCTGTCTGCCAGAAGTTCACAGGTGTTGAGCTGTACTACCATAGTGGCCCAGGCCAGCATGACTGCACAGGGCAAGGCCAGTGGTTAACTCTCTCAGAGGGACCTTGGCTCTGGTGTCACCCTGGAGCTTGTGGACAACGTTCCTGTGTTTTTAGTTAAGTATCTGTGACACTGGCAGGGTAGCAGTGTGGCTCTGAAGTGTTCTTCATATGCTAATAGCATTTTCCTGAGAGGACTGGCCTTCCAGCTTTTCCTCCCCTTTCTGTTAGCTCCTGTGGTAATGCTTAATCCCGTCACTTGTGCTGCAGAATCCCTGTGATGATAAGAGGCACAAGGATATCTGGTCCAAAGAGAAAACATGTGATCGACTCCCCAAGTTCCTCATCGTGGGACCGCAGAAAACTGGTAATGTGAATACTTTATCTAAAGATAGACTGCAGCTTCCCTGTCATTCCTCCAGAGAGGAGAGCTGGAAAGGTCTGTGTAGTAGTTCTGTATGGCTCTCCTTTCTGCAAGCTGCCAAATGACCACAGAGGACATTTCAGAGAATCTCAGGTTTGCTCTAACCTAAATCTGGCAAGCCTGTTTGCACTTTGCACCCTGGCACTGTGGCTGGCTCAGTCCTGATTTGCAGAGAAAAGCCTTACCTGCAGAGCTGGTTTGGCTTTTCCAGGTAAGCTGAGAGAAACTGTGACTTTTCTTAGTGTAGCACAAGCATCAGCTGTCAGCAGGGCTAAACACAGGCACTTGGCAAAGGTTCCAATGAATGCCCCCTAGTGCTTTTATTGCGACAGCTCTGTGTGCCCACTGCATGCTCCATGTCACTGTCAGTGGGAGGTAGAGATCCTCTTTTGTCTGATCTCTGTCACCACCTCTTAAGTGCTGTGGTACTGTGGTTGGCAGCGATATGGCTGTATATACTGTACTAGGAGTCCCTTCAAGGCTGAAGAGAACAAAATCTTCAGCCAAAGCCAGGTCTTCAAGCCTTGGCTTTCTCTGTAGCCCAGTGAAACCACACACAGGGAGCAATGATTCTGGCCTTGGGAGGAAGCTTGTCCCAGCCATATTGCTGTCTCCTGCCTCTGTCACTGTGAAGCTCTATTGGTGTGTGTGCAGCATGAGCCCTTCTGTATCATGGCCCAAGCTGCTTGAAATGGCACAGTAAGAAACCCCTCTCTTGGCTGATTTATCGTCCTGCTGGAGGCTACAGCTGTTTGCTGAGCAGGATTATTGGGTTTGGCTGAGTAAAAGGAAAAACATCTACAGCAGAGGCAGGCCAAGGCACCTCTAGCCGAACTCCCATGCAAGGACACTAATGTTGCCCCTAGCACACCTCCTTCCCAAACACGTGATACTGTCCTGCAGTGCCCAGGCTGCTTTGTGTTTGGCAGGTACGCATTCTGCCACACGACAGTGTACCACCAGTGGGGGTAACCAACATGGGTGACAGCTGTCATGCTAAGGAGGTCACTTAAATCAGCTGCATGAGCTGACACATGGGATTGAACTGTTCAGTCAGGGTCAATCTCAGTGCTTGGTGTCACCACTATTGTAACCTGCATGAGGGAAGGGTGGGTTAGCCACACGCAGTAGGAGTGTGCCCATCTGGGGACTGTGCTTTGCAGTGCTGGTAAAGCTTTTCATTCAGCCAAGTGTCATGTGCAACCCTGGTCCCATTAACCCGTTCCTATTGCAGGCACAACAGCTGTGCACTTCTTCCTGACCATGCATCCAGCGGTCACTAGTAACTTCCCAAGTCCATCCACCTTCGAGGAGATCCAGTTTTTCAATGGACCCAACTATCATAAAGGAATTGATTGGTAAGAACCCTGACAGGTGCTCTTCTATGCCAAATTCACCCGTATTACGTTGCTTTCTCCTGAGTTTCTCTGTATGTCCACCTCAGACACCTTAGTAGCTTCTGCATTTCTGAGCAGCTATTTTCATAGCTATTGATCAGCGCATGCTCTGTTTTTCTGCTAACCCAACTGCTTAGTACCAGGACAGGTAATTTCTGATTTCAGTGCCTGCTCACCAAGAGACTTGTAGGCATGATAGAGCTTTAAAAACTCAGTCTTTGTTGAATGCTCTGCTGTCATGAGGTTTCTTTTCCTTTGACATGCAAAACAGACAACAGTGCACTAAAAGTCCTTTGTCATTTCTGAGTTAAGAGGCAGTGCAGAGGGGATAACCTCCCTCCTGTTGTTCTGGGCTCTTCAGACTTCCAGCCATCACTGCATTCCTCACATTGGCTCCAGTGTTCACATGAATACCTTGATCTTTAAGTGTAAAAGTATGCTAACGTGTTTCCACCTGTCAGTGTCACAATTATGCCACTGTGTTTCCAGGCAGAGACATTTCAAAGGTGTTTCTTGCTCAAAGCATTGACTTCAGGTCAACTGTGGCACTGTGCTCCCTCATGCATGGCTCTGAGGGCAGCTGTGTGGCAGCAAGGCATTCTGCTGTTGCGTTTCTTTGCCCAGGAGCTCTGGGAGTCTTTGTCTGACTTCTCTGATCATTTAGAGGACTGCTGAAAAGGTGTCAGTATCACAAGGGGGTTAGTACTTGAGCAAAGCTCACAGGAGTCAAGCACGACAGAACTGTTGCACTAGCTGACAGGCCTAGACAGCATAGGTTTTTATGTGCATCTCCTGGAAAAGTCATACAACTTGACTGGAGTGTTGCATCGCATGCAAGAATCTTTATGTTTAGTATGGAATCTGAGTTAGTTGTATAGCTTAAATTTCAACAGATCTGTCTTCTAGTACTTTGCAGTGCCCTGTCCCACACATTGCCCTCTGCCTTACTCAAATGCCTTAGATACCATGTAAGCTCCTGTGATCTTTACTCTGCGCCTCAGCTACGGACAGATGTGCAGAGAGACATGTGAGTTAGATGGGTTTAAACAGGTTTAGGTGGGTTTAAACAACCAGTCAGTGGCAGGACAGGCAGCTGATTCTGGCCTTACTCTTGGACTGAACCTCTTTTCTATTAGAACTAGTACCCTACCCTCAGCCTTTTCTTTCCACTGGCCAAAGACTTGGGGAGCACACTCTCAGCAAAATACTTTCTTGCTCTTTTATCATCTCCAACTTCCCATGTTGTGCTCCTTATCCTCTGCCAGCTCTGTGCCCATTTTCCCATTCACTGCATTCCTGGCCAGCTGCAGTTGTTCTGTGAACTGTGTCTGTTCAAGAGGCACAAGGGCATCATTTTGTCATGTGCCATTTCTTTGTTGGGCCAAGCTGCTCACCAGTGTCCCATCTGTTTGGCAGGTACATGGAATTCTTTCCCATCCCCTCCAATGCCAGCACAGACTTCATGTTTGAGAAGAGTGCCAATTACTTTGACACAGAGGTGGTACCAAAACGTGGTGCAGCCCTGCTCCCTCGAGCCAAAATCATTACTGTTCTGATCAACCCTGCTGACCGAGCCTATTCGTGGTACCAGGTAACTTCCCAGCGTGGTTCTGTGGGTGAGGGCCAGAGAGGTATTCCGGTGGGGTGAAGTGGAAATCCTGTGGATCCATCTCCCTAGAGGGGCCAGGGGACGTGAGGTAGGCTGCCTGCAGAGTGTGGACAGTTACACACAAAGGCATTGGTGGGTGGTTGAGCCAAGTCAGTGGGGGTCTGCAGAGAGATGCGTAAGGCGGAATTCTGTGTTCTTGCTCCTAAATTCAGTTTGTTTTCCAGCACCAGCGTGCTCACAATGACCCTGTGGCACTCAATTACACCTTCTACCAAGTGATCTCTGCAAAATCCCAGGCCCCTCAGGAACTGCGCAACCTGCAAAGCCGATGCCTGCTCCCTGGCTGGTATTCAACCCACCTAGAGCGCTGGCTAACATACTACCCCTCTGGGCAGGTAGGAGGCCTGGCAGTACAGGCTGTTGTGTGGAGCCTTTTGTAGGTTTAGTGTAACAAACTGTTACATGTGTGTATGCTTCGGTTACCCACTCACTCCAGCCCATTGTTTTCATGTGACCTCCTGTCTTGTCTTTGGAACAAAAGCCATCACTTGCTTCCTCCTATTATGAGCTAATAAGAAAATCAGGCTTGAATACTCCAATTTTGCACCTTAGTGTGTTTGTAAAAGTAAATGGGTACAGAAGGATACTGTGATCTCCTGGAGAGCTCCAAAGCATTGAGAAGTTCAGCAGTGTTAGCGCTCCCTTCCTTTCATGTTGGCCAGAGACCCTCTTCAGGCCCAGTAGGCACTCAGCTACTTGCTGCAGTTTCACTGCTTTAAAGAGAGGCTCTGTGTCTCTGCCACTTCTTAGTTCCTATGTTGCAAAGCCTTTAGCTGCCTGTTAAGGGGAATTTCACTGCAGAGATGTCAGGATTCTATGTTTTGTGTATAAATTTGCACAATGTCCATTAACAGACAATACAGAACATTGCCGTCTCTAAACTCAAAAGAAATTTATAACCTGTCTAATACAGTGTGAGTCAGAATATGTTTCTTTAAGTTTCTTTCTTTCTGCTGCTGGGGTTATCCTCAGTCTATAATCCAGCAAAGGCTTATAAGCCCATTTAGTCTGTTATATTCTCTGCCAAAGCAGCAGCCTAAACTGTACGTGACAGATCTGCCAAGACTAAAAGAGACATGGGAAAACATTCTTGGGCTTACATCTCATTGCCCTGCTATTTCTGGAGGTCACTGCTGTGAGGAATGATAGAGCCAGACACACCATCCGTCCACTTATTATGGGTCAGGTCTCTGACCTTCCCCAGAACACAGTTCATGTGTCTATTTTGTTGTTTGTTCTTTGAAATGGGTAATTTATTAGTACAAATGTTGTTCATTATTGTTTATCACACACGTAGCAGGAGAATACTCAGAGATTACAGAAGAATACTTAGCACAATGGCTGCTGGCATCTAAAAAGGACATATGAGGTTTCCAAAGACAGTCTGTAAATTGTGCTACTGCTGGGCCTTAGTGCTTAGTTACAGGGGGGTTGGCCAAAGGCAAGTTTATTAAGCAAAGCCTGTCAAGGTCTGCTGTTTTATGGTACTTGTGGCCCGTATTATAACTTCTCTATCTATCTGTGGTGACAAATGGGCCACATCCCCTCACTGTGTTGCTCTAGAACAAACAGGCTTTTTTTTTGGCAGCCTTTACTCACACTCACAAGGGCCAGGGGGAGTTTTGAGATGCAGGAAGCTCACGGGTGTCATTCAGCACAGGCTGTTAGAGGCTAAGGCGGCTGCTGTCTTTTCAGCTTCTCATTGTGGATGGTCAGGAGCTGAGACACAATCCTGCCTCTGTAATGGACAACATCCAGAAGTTCTTGGGAGTGACGCCACTGTTCAACTACACCCAGGCCCTCAGGTAGGGAAATCATTTTGTGAGGATGCTTCCTTTGCCAAGTGTGATACTAATGAACACTCTAGAAGAATTGAAGTATACGAGACTTAAAATTTGACTACAAGACCTGCTATGGTTTCAGAGGTACGGCTAACACTAAAATTAGGTTCCGATAGCATGAGATGCTATGCTGAGACTGAAATCATAGCTTAGCCTTTCAAGAAATTATAGGAAAAGGGGTGTGTTTTTGTCACTGTCACAGAGAAGCATGAAGTTGCTCACAGCAGTAACTATGATGTTTTCCATTTAGTCTGCATGGTTTCAGAAAAGGTGCTGGAATTATTAGCACTCCTTATGCTTTGTGTTACATCTGACAGAAAGTAGAGGAGATAGATTAAAAATGTGTGACAAGATGCTCATATCTGCAACCAGATGGAGATTAGGGACACATGGCACAGTTCTGAAATAGTGAGTCTATTATTACAGAAGACATGGTCTTGACAGGTGCCCAGAGCTATCTGAGGAAGTGTTAGTAGAGGCACTACCCCACTGCTAATAAGCTGAAGGATGTTACTCGGCCATTACTGTGATGTTGCCCATACTGCAAGTGCAGTTAATCTGAATAGATTAAGTGCTAGTTGACAGTCTTCAGGGGAGATCCTCAATATTGTTCTTTGCAGCTGAAACCTGTGTTTTCACATCTCTGCTCTCACAGCCTATGCTTGTTGAGGGTGGTGGGTGGTGTGCGTGCGTGTAGGCATATGGCAATTGCCCTTTAACAGTAAAGAGAGGAGAACCAATTCAGTTCTCCTCCTACAGGTCTTTTCAAAGGGATGGCACATGCTCCCCAGGGAAGGGCAGGTTTAGAAATGTCAGATTATTTGACAGCCTTACTTGCTGGAGCACTTGTGGTGATAGTAAATGGACTGTTTAGAATCGTGGTACCGGCTAGTACCCTTCAGCCAGGGTCAGAAAATAAATGGTCGGCTCGCCTCAGAGTTTGGTAGTGGGCCTTGCTCAAACCTCAAACTCCTCCTTGGCCATCTGAGGGGACAGGCCAGGCCAGACTCAGACACTGTTCCCAGCATTGCCTTATACCTGTGTTTTAACAAGAAAAGAAACACTGACTTTTCAAATGTTTGGTGGGGTGGGGAGGGGGTGGTTCTAATACTTCTCAATTATAATGAGGAGATTTAAAAGAACTTACATACACTAAAACATTATTATTCCTCCCCCCCCATCTTAACAGACAAATACTGTTAACACTACGTTGCCTCTGAAATGTGCATAAAGCTGAGACAGTCACAGTTGGAATGGATTTCTTGTCAAAGTAGTCAAGTGCCAAAAGAAAAGGAACCAAAACCACGAGCAAATAAGTAAATAAAACCCAAACCCAATTTGTAAAACACTGAAATGGGAAATGGTTAAGAAGTTACTTAATTTCTGCTGCTACTAATTGGGCATGTGGCTGTATCATTTAAAGACAAATGTCCTTTCCAGATTTGATGAAGCAAAAGGATTTTGGTGCCAGCTGCTAGATGGAGGAAAGACTAAATGCCTAGGAAAGAGTAAAGGAAGAAAGTACCCTGATATGGATTCCTTGGTAAGTAACTGTCTCAAATCTGTTGGCAGCAAGAGATGTAGAAACATCCCAGTAACCCAACCTGGATTTTCCTACCATCTGTGTCCTAGATGACCTACACAACACGTGTCCAGGGTAACATTTTCCACTAATGTGGTCTGTGTTTTCCACAGTCACGGCTGTTCCTAAGAGACTTCTACCACGAGCACAACATTGAATTATCCAAGCTGATGAACAGACTTGGGCAGCCCCTTCCAACATGGCTCCGAGAGGAACTGCAGAACTCCAGCTGGAGCTGAGAGGGACTCCCTTGCCCCCAGTGCCACTGGGATGTGTGGTGCTCCAACATGTGCTATGATGCCATCTATTGTCAAGCCAAAATAACTCGACAAATGAGCAGGAGCAGAGAATGTGCATGTGGAGCCCTTCCCCACCATTGGGAAGGGCTGCTGCCTCTGACACTGCCCTGGATATAGAGTGCAAGTCACATTCTTGAGTATTAATGGTGTGTTACACTTTTGACTTTTATTACAGGAAGGCTTTGGAATGCCTGCCCTACTTTTGAGCAGGGGAGAGAGCACCGTAAACACTTCGTTTAAAATACTCCTCTCAGTATATGAAATAGGCAGTAGCTGGAGGGTCAGCGTGTCACGCCTCTGAGTCCAGAAGTAAAGACTCAAGAGGTGAGCTATTCAGCCCACTGCTGCGAAAAAAGCAGCAGCTTAATAGAAGGGGGAATCTAGTCCAGTGAGCCCCAGCCTGTAAATAGACTACAAGTCTATTTGGCAACAGCAAGGTACAAGAGCACCTTGTTCCTCCCCATGTGGAGTACAGTGGCCATGATCATGAATTACAGTGCTACCGTGTGTGGCTGATGGAGACTGCACTTTCTTGGAGACAGATGTAATAGACCTAAGATTTGCCTCTCCTTACCTGCAGCACTGTTGGTCTGATAGCTTCCAGTGACTGGTCAATGGGCAGTGGGAGAAAAGGCAAAGCTGTGGCTACTGTCACCGAATTGATTTGTTATCTTAGGGAAAAGGTTGCCAGATGTGGCAACGTGGCGAGTACTTCTCTGCAGGGACTTTAGACATTTCAAAAGATAACCAAGGGAGCAGCATGTCCCTTTAGATCACTTTGGAGACGTGTTAGTGCAGCACAGCAGCTGGGGGAGGCAAAGCTCAGGTACTGTCAAATAAGGCTGATACAGCTGAAAGCAGACAGTTCAGTTCCCCATTGTCTGATCAGCTTAAAAAAAAACAACCCAAAACCAACAAATATTTGTCTCTTTCCAAGAGCTCCAGGGTTCCTACCACCTATGCTGATAGCTAGCACCTGTTTAATCCCCATTCAGTCCAACAATCCAAGGAGGAAAGCAAAATACAGTTAAAAGTATCATTCAGAAAGGCTTGGAGTTAGAAGCATTTTTCAATGTCCAAAAGGGGCTGTTTAGTTTACTACTGCAGAGTCAAGTAAGTACATGAAGGTGCTTTGCTTCCTCCTGCAGTTGCTGGATAATTGTTCTCAGAGGAAATCCTCTGTCATGGTCGTACGTGTTTTCTGTCACTGAGCCATGGGCTTTGGAGCTGTGTGGGCCATCGTCCCTCCCTCCTGGGCACAGATGGTCCTTGGAGACTGCTGCGGTTCCTGAGAACAGAGGGGCAGGATCCATATGAACACAGAGTTCACGACCTGTTCACAGTTCCACGACCTGTCACGAGCTCCTTTTCTCCTACCCCAAGAGAAGTTGCTTCAACCAAGCTTTTTCCATTGAGCCTTAGGTATTGTGTATTTCTGAATGAATGGTGCATTTACCGTTGTATGTAAATGTATATAGTATGCGATATAGTATTTTATTTCATGTGCCCTTGGGAAAGGGTTATTTTGTGCAGCCAAAAAAAAGGACAGAAAGACTAGAAACCCCTCTCTCGCTCCTGTTAGAGAGAAGAGCCCGACTTCCTGCACTGGATTCATGTATAGCATCATTCACATTGAATGATAATGAAGAAATTCTTGGCTCTCGAAGCTGAGCACAAGTGTCTGAATAAAAGCTAGAAGTAGTAGTAAGTGGAGATTCAATAAATGTACTACTTATTTTTCTTCTTTGTGATGATTTGGAGTGATGTCATGGACCCATAGCTGGTACAAGGGTAAGAAAAACTGAAACACTCCAGGTCTTACAGCTGATACTTGGGAGGTAACAGAGGTGTTTGTTTAACTTACATCTGTAACAGCAGAGGAGCACCTGTAGGCTTGCAGAAACTGGCACAGCACACAGCCTGTAATTAAGAGAGCCCACAAGCAGACCTACAGTAATACGCAACCTTACGCTGAACTGGAAGCAAAACATTAAATAGTCTCGGGTGTGAGAGCACTGTAAAACAGCCTTACAGCCCGCACTTCACTGAGCACTTCAGGGATAAACAAATGCAGCCACAGCAGAGCAGCTGATTTTACATGCTGTCTCAGGCGGAGGAGGATCTCAGCACCAGTGCTATTGATGCTCCATTAAACACACTTTCCTGCTCTTGATCCATTACAGGTTGTCACTTACTTAATGTACACAATTACTTTGCTTTACCTTGGACTATGTGGAGATGGATTTAGACATTAAAAAATCATAGAAGTACCAGGAATATCAGTAAATGTCAGGGTTAGTTGATTGGTGATAGGCATTCACTTAAGGGCAGCTGTTTATTCTCATTATTAATTCTTTCCAGCTATATAGCTTCATTTCAGTGCTATGGTAGTTCTTACTGCTTAAGTTAATGGCAAACAAATCACCTGCAGTGGTCAGATGCAAATGCAGGACGCCCTTACCTGATTTAGCTGATGGAGAGTCATTTTCAAATCTGGTAACTCCCTCTGACAGCAGACTGCTGCAGAAGCTACCCTCTTTCCAGACATCTCTTCAAAGCTGTGGAAGCACACACCCCCTCCTACGAGAAGCTTTTATAATATCAGAATCTCAGTGATATCGAAAAAGTCAACAAAACTCATCTTTTCCAGTGAGGTAAACGTATTACTAGATACTGTCCCGTTTGGTACTGAGACATTACAGACCTTCACTCTTAGACAGTGGAAATACACCTCATCTTCTTACCTTTCTTACCTAAATGTTTAGCATCAGAACTTCATGGTAAGCAGCTGACATCTAATACAAGGAAAACAATAAGCACAAAACATTACCTGAACTTTGTTTTGTGATGTATTAAAAATACTCTTCAGTCTGATGCATGGGAAACCAACCCATTGAAAAAGGAGTGATTTGACCAGGTGTCAGAAAGGTCACTCTTGGAAGTGACTGGAACTGGAAAGGTAAACGGAAGGTGACAACCGGCACGACCAAGCAACTCTCCTTTTTAAATGAAAGCCATCAGCAGACATACATACATACCAACCTCAGAAAAGAATGCTCAGCATGTAGGGCTGGAACTTCTACACACACACAGCCTTTGGAATTCAGTCGGGAAGATATTTAGAAGTAGGCTGTTACCATTTTCTACTAGGTACAGAAAGTACTGGTACAAGTCTCAGTTACAGGGAAAAGACCTTTTAAGGAAACTGGAAGCATTTCTCTGTAGGTGGCAGCCTGCATTGACTATGTAAAAATCTCATTGCTTAAAACTGCAGTTTTCCATTGATGACAGCACTGCAAAGGCACATATTCCTGGCAGAAGCCTGCAGCTCCTGGAAGTCAATGACACACAAGAGTTGAGCTCTGTGGCTCTAATGAGCAGCTTGCTCAAACTCATCCTGTTGTTTTTCAGCCCTCACAGTTGGCAAGAGAATCCTTTGATTTCTTGCTGGTCATTCTGCTGTATCAGTAGTAACATGGCAAGAAATCCTAGGACAAGCAGGTCCGAACATGCCAAATGAATTTGAAAGAAGCATGTTCATCCCCCCTGCTGAATCCCAAGTGTCTCCCAGCTGACACGGTGCAGCTGCAAGGAAGGCACCAAAGACAGCAGCCCCTAACACAGGTGTTTTCAGCAGGCTGCCTCAAGCCAGGAGTATCATCTCCCATCACACAGTAGGACATGGATTGAGTACTCGTACCTCCCTCTCCAGTTATCAGGGCTTTACCTACAGTTTTTTTCTTTCCCCTTATTGTTAAAGGCTTGTGGGGGTGAAAAAAAAAAAGAGCATGAACACTGAGCATTGTTAAGATGAGGAACTAATGCTTGCCTCTGAGAAACAATTTGCAAGCTTGTTTTGCTACCAGAAACTTATTCCCAACACTCACTGCCACTACTCTTGAGAACTATGTAGAAATGTATTTATCTTGTTTTGGCTTTAAAGAATGAGTGGTTTTCTTCCAAGACTCAATTTCTCCCCTTTTTCATCTATATAGTCTTACTGACTCTACAGTCTCTCCAAAATGCCTGTACACCAGCATGTCCATAATGGTGCCCCAAGAGTCTGAAACCCGGCTTATGGTCATTTCATATACAGTAGGCAACAGAGGATCATAAATCAGACTGGTCTCAGAACCCCTCAAGTCACTGGAAAAGGTGCGTTTCTGGAATTACAACACCACTGTGTTGACACTAAGGCTCAACAACTGCCCTTTAAGCCCCCAAATTCCTGAGAGACGCTCTCCTGGCTGACTGGACTTAAAAGAGGCAAGGTAAAGTAAACCACAACATGGAAGGAGGCAACGGAGACACAGTCCCTGTTGATTAACTAAGCAGGTGCCACCATAAAGGAAAAGAAAGTCATTCACAGATCACAGTCACTGTCTCTACCAACAAGAAGCCCTATAGAGCAAAGGGACCTTCTGACAGCACATGAAGCACTTGGACATTACCCTGAGAAAGAGCATTAACTAGGCATAGGCTTAAACGAAAACCCTATCACAGAACAGCCCCAAGTTGCACTTCCAGCTTTCACAGGTTAATGCCACTCTTGGACAGGTGCCTCCACTGCCCTGTCCCAAGTGTGAGTACCCTTAAAACAGAAGCAGGAAGCATAAATAAGTTCAGAAGCCACATTTGAATTATACTGGGGGTGAGAGGGGAGGGAGGTTGAAAAAAAAAATAATGAAAAACCAAAACCTAACCCCTAGAAAGTATAATTTAAGAAAGCCCCTCCTTACCATAATCATGGCATAGGGGACTTCTGTATTCAGGCACAGAAAAACACAAACCAGTCTAAATAAACTGTAGCTGAGAGCTCCTCACTCCATCAGGTGAGCTTAAAAGCAGTCATGCAACAGTCACAATCAACAAATGCTGAGCTATCCTCATGGCCCAACCTGCCAACCTCAGTAGCAGCCTCTGAGCACTTCCCTGTTTTGGCACACTCCCCAGGTGCATCCTGGAAAATCCATTTTAATACCCTATCACACTCTTAATGGCTGGGTGAGAAAAACACAACTTTCCCAACAATAACAGACAATGATTTCAAACTTCCATCATGTTACAGCTGACTGACTTACACCAGGAGGTGGTGATAAGCTTCATGGAGAAACTTCAATGCTTACTCTATTTACTGTGGGCTGGGGTTTGCAAGGCACAGTGCACAACAGCACTGTGTAGCAATACCTAAGCTAGTGCTAAACAAGCTGGGAAAGTAAAAGCCTGTATTCTATTCCAAAAGACAACAGTGCTAGGCTTGATAACAAACCAACCCACACAACGAATTTAAAACCAGTTTAGGCTCAAAAACTCCCCAGGAGGCTATTTCTGAATGAGCTTTTAGAGCAGGAAAATACATACCCTAATTAAATAAAAATGACAGCAAACAAAACTAGACAGAAACACACTCCACAGCTAACTCCAGACATACCTGGTGCTAGGCATCTTGTTTCATCAGCTGAGAACTCCAACTCAGCTTGGTCGTGGGCTGTAAAGACACTGAAGTCCAAAGGCAAATACTGTTCTGCTAACATGGAAAGTGCTTACAAAGGAAAACTTTCACCTGCAAGAAAGGTGGCTGTAGGTGAACATGTCTGGGGAGGGAAGAGGGGAGCTGGCCCTCTCAGAGGTTGGCATACCTGATCTACCCAGAAAAAGGTTATCAGCAGCAGCACAAGATGCTTTCCAAGGAATGAGGCTTGCTATGACCAAAACCTTTATCAATTCTGTAAGAGCAAAAATCACACTATTCCTTCTGACAAGCCAAATATCCAAAATGCAATCTTGGCGTGCCTTGCGACTACACTAATGCCAACGTTTTACCCCTAAAGATTCAGAAACTATGCAGGGATCAACAGTTTTAAGTTAGAGAAATGCTGCTATGCCAGATACAGGATGAGACTG